TTTTTTTTGTTGAATTCAAAAGCAAATCACTATATCAATGTAAAATCAATACTTATTTACATTAATATTCGATTTTCAATTATTTAAAATGATCAATTTATTATCGGGTTTGTATAGTTTAAATATAATAATAAAAATTGAAATATATGATGAATGCATTATTTTCTTGATTGTTTAGCAATAATAGTCTTTTACATCGTATGAGTCTATTATATATGTATATATAAATATGTCTTTGATACGAGTAAGAATATTTAACAATTTGAAAGAAAAAATGAATATTAAAATTCTTCGTCTCGTAGAAATAACTATAATATTCATTTAACGTGTATAATAATTCTTAAGTATTCTGTCGTTTGGAACTTAATTATCAGAATATGTAACAATAGACAACAAAAAAGAAACACTAAACAGAATTAGCAAAACAGATCAATCAGTAAGTAGACGATGCGTTTAATTAACGAAAAGGAAAAAACAAATAACAATACAGACATTATTACATAAATCAATGATCTATTGTTTTGTCTAACATTCAGTTTTATGAAATATTAGATTAGATTTTATGCAATAAGATTCATAAATTTATCATGTTATTTTGCAGATATGGAAAGAAATTATTATCAAAAGAGAAACAAAATTATTCGATAGACAATCTTATCAATCCAAGATATATATCATTTTATTCATTCAAATAAAATTTCGATCATAAAAAAAATCATTATTTTAGAAGATATTACATAGCAATACTGATTCCATTTTTTGTTTTGCATATGATTTATTTAATAATATCTAAATCTAGAAATGTTATTGAGTCGTCATGTGTTTTTATGATCCGCATGCACGACTTGTTGTCCGCGTATTCACTTTCCGTTGATTATTTGAAAGAAGAGAAATGAGCAAACGAGTAAATGTAAGCGTATATATGAGTATTGTTGAAGCGAACATCTTCATTCACATTACTCATTTCTCTTCTTCAAAATAATCAACGGAACGTCAAATCTTCACAGAAAACAAAAAGCATTTATTGAAATATATATATTTTTATGTAATCAACGGTCAGGTAAATCGTCTAAAGATTTTTATGATCATGCACGTATAGAACTCGAACAAATACTAATTATATTAATTAATCACGCGTCTCTTTTTTTTATAACTTGAAAATACAATACGCGTAAAACTATAAAATAGCTATAAAATAACAAATTGTAAAAAAGAATATGTTTGTACTTATGTTCTATTGGAAATAATTGATTGAACATGATATAATAGAATAGAATTTGATCAAATAGTTTAACTAGTAAAAACAATGTCCTTAATATTTTTGTTACTCTATGTATCTAATGTCTTCTTCAATTTAAAACAAACTAATCAAGTAGATTTTTATTTTTTGTTTTGATTGATAGAGTTCATCATTATCGATGATGTATTAGTTTTATATATTAAATTATTCAGTTATATAAACAATATATTTTAAAAAAATGTCATTACGATGATGTTAAAAAAAGTATTCATGTTAATATTATAAAAAGCATTTTTATTTACTAAAGAGAAATAATTTCTTGTAAGATGATAGAAAAATTCATATTGTTTTTTCTTTGACAAGTAGATAATAAAGTATTTCCGTCAGTAGTGCATTAAGCAGAAGTCACCTTGGCATCTTAATCTTGTCTTTTTATCTCAAAGAAGATTTTAGTAATCAATAAAATCTTGTCGATTAGCATGTCAAATTTACATTCTTTTTTTTTACCTAAATTCTTATTCAAAAATAGTAAATAACGGATATCCGATTTTTAGATAATTATTGTTGTCTAGATCCATATGTCACATCATCGTCATTACTGCAAATCACATTGAAACATTGATTGGTTTTATTTATTAATATGAACTTGCTGATTTTTTTTTCTTTCAATATCATTTTTCTCTTCTTCTATGTCATCTTCAATAACTTTAAGTACCAATAAACTGTTCGTGTTAAGTAAAAAGATTGATATTAAAAAAAAGTCTTTATTAATTATTCAATTTCATTTATTCAATAAAAATGCCTTCTAATGCATCTATTTTACATTTACTAGTTACTAGTTTGATATATTTATTTACACAATATCGAAAATGTTATTCATTTACTGCAATATCTTCAACACTATCACCATCTTCATCATTATTACATGAAGGTGCAATAAATATTACTGTCCATATGTCTGATGAACAACGTCTTTTTTATACAATAATGACAGGTTATGAAAAAGCAATAAGACCATTGAAAAAGTCATCTGAAGCTGTTGTTGTTAAACTTGGTATTTCACTGACACAAATTTTAGATGTAGTAAGTAATGTAAGAACTAGGAAAGAAATGCTTATTATTATTATTATATATACAGGATGAACGAAATCAAATAATGACAACTAATATTTGGCTTGATCAGGTAAAATTATAATAAAAAAAAATCAAATATTCATGACATTATTAAAAACTTCTATATTAAGAAATATTGTTTGCGGTATTTTTTGACTAATTGACAGAATTGAAAGATTGTTTGACTTTTTAATTTTTAAATTTATATATCTTGTGAATACATAGTATTCATCTAAATACGAAGAAAGAAAAAACTAATAAATATCTAATTTAAAGAACAGATGTTTTTTTTTTGTAATATCAATTTACTATACTTTTCAAAGAGTCGAACACCTGATGTTCTATAAAAAAAAAAAAAAAAAAGAAATATTTTTTCAATACTCTAAAGTGATCCTTTCAGTCTATTGCAAAATATTATAAAGAAAACTGTGTGAAGAAATAGATCTTATTATCTTTATAATATCCTAAAAGTGTTTTAATTTTCTTTTTAAACAAAAACAAAAGGAATGGAATGATGCATTTTTAAAATGGAATCCAAAAGATTTTGGTGGTTTAAAAAAAATACGTATACCTTGTCGTCTTATTTGGTTACCTGATATTGTACTATATAATTCTGCAGATGATTATACACAAGGATATATGCAATCATTAGCAATGATTGATTATAATGGTACTGTTTTTTGGCCACCTATTGTTAAATTTCGATCGACTTGTAAAATAGATATTACTTGGTAAATTTTGATTTTTGAAAAGTTATCTGAAATGAATTCTTTTTTTATTTTCAAAATAAAAGGTTTCCTTTTGATGATCAATTATGTTTTTTAAAATTTGGTTCATGGACATACGATTCTACACAACTTATATTAACAAATCGATCAGAAAATGTTGATATGGATAATTATATTGATAATGGTATGTTATTTTTTTTAATATTTTGCTTTGATCATTAATGTTTTTCTTGGTTTTTTTTCTAATAAAAGGTGAATGGAAATTATTAACATCATGGACAGTTCTTTCAACATTAACATATCCATGTTGTGCAGAAGGATATCATGATTTAAAATTTTATTTTCATATACGTCGTCGAACATTATATTATATATATAATGTTATAATTCCATGTATAATGTTATCTGGATTAACATGTTTAACATTTTATTTACCAACAGAATCAGGTGAAAAAGTTTCATTAGGTTTAACTGTACTTCTTTCATTTTCTGTATTCATGTTATTAATTGCTGAAGCAATGCCAGCTAC